GATGCTTATCAGTTTATTTTGAAATCTACTATCATTCCTTTAAAAGGGAATTAAAGAAAAAGAGATAAGAAAGTAAGAGAAAAGAAAAGGGTAGAAATGCGGGTAAGTTTTAAACGTCTCAGAGCAGTACTAAGTCTGCCATGTGGACCTGGCTTGTCTCTCGCCCCCTCCCTACTAGGGGCAAGGCTGGTACTGCTGATCCTGACTGCAGCACAGGGGCTGCATGGTCTGGTCGCCTGTCCATTCCCAGGGGCCGTCGCAGATCTCTGAATAGGCGTACACCTGTAAGTGTATAAAATTTATGTTAGCGAAATATTATATATTATATATATATATATTATATATATATATATATATATATATATATATATATAACTATATATAAAGCTAAAAACATAAATATGTGATATGAAAGGAGGCAAGTACGTGCTCGAAGCTCCGTTTGTTAAATCCATGTCAAATGCGAGTGGAAGTTATAGTTTCTCATCCTTTTGAACTTTAATCGTCACCTTATCCATTTGACCACTACCTTCAGAGAAGAAAATATTGATTATAATGGTAAAAAAAAACTGTAATAATAGTAGTACTACTACAAATACTGACAACAATGATACTAATCGTCATTTGAGCTGATGAATGCGCATTTCCCTGACTCGATTTTTGCCGCTCGCCACCACCTTTCAGAGGTTTCCATCCTGGAGCACCTCTGTGGTGCCTTTGCCAGATATCTTGATTTCAAGGCTGACAGACCTGGAGGTGATCTACTAACCACTTAAATTTCATCAGCGGCGAAATCACTGTAAGTTGCTGGTACGCATTGAAAGTTTTCCTCTTTTTGTCGACTGGGGCACCATCGATTATCTTCTCAGAACCGCAAATGACATCCCTAAGGACAGCCTATCCACTGCCCACGCTCCATCCGCCGACCTCCTTGGACTCGAGGAGGAAGCACCCAAGAATACTCCATCTACCGCCTGCGTTTCGTCGTCGGCGACACCATAGCAAGATTTTGCCGGACGCCATGTGATTGAGGCCGACTCTTAATCACCGCCTGATTGCGGTGTTGGAAAGTATCGAGAAAGGACTCTCTCGGACACTACCGCACGCCGACCCAACCGGTACATCGGTTGCTAACATGTGCAATGCCTGGCTCTATTTTAGGTCTAATCAGTTACACCCATAATAATGAGACAGATTGCAGATCCAACAAACACAGTGCTGTTATGGGCCTGCCTAATCATGTTCAATACTTTAAGTCGCGTTATGGACGCTTTTTCCTCTCTCTCCCTCTCTCCCTCTCCCCCCCCCCCTCTCTCTCTCTCTCTCTCTCTCTCTCTCTCTCTCTCTCTCTCTCTCTCTCTCTCTCTCTCTCTCTCTCTCTCTCTCTCTCTCAATCTAAATCTAAATCTAAACATCCATGCATTGTATCCAGAACCTATCAGTCGGGTGGTGACATTGTGCTGCAGGCCTGTATGTTTTATCTGGAGTGAAATCTATATGTTTAGGTAACCCTGAATTCAACAAGACACATAATGCTTCATTGGGTCAACACCCACCTACAGTTATGATGATTATAATAAAAAAGTAATTTCTAATCATAGGGAAACCTAAGTACAGAAGTGAATCACTCACATATTCGTTTTGGACTGGCTCCCCAACCGCCGTGCACAAGATCTGACCGACGGGCGTCACGCCATCGGAGGTAATGAAGTTCAAGTCTCCTCCTCCAGACAGCTCCTCGAACTCCTTGAAGCAGCGGTTTTGGCATTTGTGGTTCTGGTCACAGCTGCAGGAAAGGCGTTGGTTAGTAAGTATTGTTTGCGTTCGAGTTTTGAATGATTAGAACAGGGCTGTAAAACTCATTGAGTCCAGGGGGCCACATTTCACCTTGATATACAGCACGCAGCCAGAGAATCATGAGTCGACGCGATGAAACCACCATGATATTATTGGAGAAAGGCGTCACCAAAGAATCGACGAAAAACTAACCTTACAGCCTTGAAGATATTTAATTAATGATCCCTTTTCATTAAATAAACTGGCCTGGCAAATGAATTATAGTTAAGTTATTTAATTATCAATGTAAATTAAAGTAATATTAAAAGGAGGTGAGATTTACACGATCGTTGAGGGAATACAGACCAAATTCTCCACTACTCATGCGTCACAGGTGTTATCTCACCTGTGACGCATGAGTCAGTGTCATGAATTCAAAGGACAATTGTTTGTTAATTTAATAGCTAATGGGGAAACAAGGCACGAGGAAACAGTCAATGAATGAACATTAGCTAAATAGAAGTGATGAAATTTAGTTTTGAAATTAATCTCGGCATGGCTTCCCTGTGTGTAGAGTGCCGTATCAAACCCTGCCAAGTTATAAAAAATAATTTAGAAGACGATAAGGCCAGCTTGAAATCATAACGTGAATATGGAGTGCCCAATCCTGAGTCTGTCCGACGCTCTCTTCTGCCGTGAGAATATGTGGAGGATTCTTTGTTTT